ATTCATCTCCTGGGTGAAAAGTATAGGTTTTCTGTGGATGAAAGGAAACTTTTGCTTGAACGTAGCCTAATGAACAAAGATGTTCAATATATGTAATCGATGAAGCTGATTCCGTATATGGACACGTAACTACATTTGGAGCCAATTTTAGTCAAAAAAGAAGGTGGGCCATTCTTAATCTTATGCTGCCCCTCCCTTTATACTACGACAGTTATTATGCTAAATGAAGTAAGAATGAATGAAAGAATTCACCAAATTGATGTGCTTTAGGTTATAACTGTTTACATTGCTTTTTTTTTGACTGAAATTAGTTACTGTAACTCCAAAGCATGTAAAACAAGTTACGTGAATGATATGTATATACTTAGATTATAAACAGATAAAGTAATATTATCCATTTAAGATGTAATAACAATAGCCTTGTTTTAGTTCTCAACAACTAACAATAGTTTCGTTCTCGACACTAAAATATATGTACAATCAATACTCGATATACATACGAAATTTTCCAGACTAACAACAGATCTGCACTTGAATTCCGTGCTCGTTAATGTATGAATTTTTTAACTACCTTTACACTAGTTATTGTCTAAGCCTCTTGATTCTTATCTCTAAGGCGTGTCGCAGATTTATTAAATTCAATGCTATTACCGAGTTAACTGGAAATACATCGGAGATATTACTAGTTCGTTATTGTGATTTGATTTTAAGAAATCGGTAAGGGTTATGTTTAATGTATTATCGGTACATTTAAATGATGCATTTCTATTTTAGTGATCGATGTGATGTCGAAGACTTGTTGAATAAAATAATAGTATGTTGAAAAAAAAGCACATTTTTATTTATCAGAAGGCATTAGAGACGTCTCGAACGGGACGGAGGAATCTCTCTGTTTCTTGATGTTTACTCCTGATTAAGGGGTTAAATTATTACGACTCTTCGAGGCACCCCTTGAATGAATATTTCTTCTTGAGCAGTGCTCAAATAAGATAATCAAGAAGATTAAGTGGATTTGTGAGGAAACTTTTAAAAAATAAAACGAATCGAAAATTAATTTTGCAGAGACTATAGACAAAACTGAAATGATGATTTAGTTTAATTCCAAACAAATCACGATTATTTTTAGTGGATGAAACCTTGTCCTGTTTCATGAAAATCAAAAAAGGTCGATCATTTGCACTCTATCGATATGCTTAAAAAAATGTTCATAGAGATTGGAAAAAAATTGATATTTTTTCTCGGGTATTCAGTAGACATTTGAGTATTATTTTCAAGCAGATAAAACAAATATGATCGAAAAAAGGTCATGAATTTCCCAGTTTAATATATGCGAATACGTTCCAGTATTTATTCAAGTTATTGCTTGATTAATGTATCAATAATAAAAAATAAAGTCATAATTTACTCTAGATTTTTTTTCCATTAGATTGTATTCAGTTATATTGAAGATAAAGATATTTTTGAAAAATTTTATTGGAAAATGCTAGCCCAACGTTTTGTTCACCAGGCAAGTGTCAATGATGAACATGAAGTACTAATGGTACAAAAATTAAAAGTATAGTCGAATTCTGATTCACAGAAAAGCTGACGCTAATACTTTTGTGTTTCGTTACAGGAAGCATCGGGCTCGACATATACAGTGAAATTAGAACAAATGTGTAAAGATATTCATACTAGTAAAACATTATTGGATGAATTCAGGAACTGGTGTAAAATTAACACTATTGATAAAACGTGTAAGAAAAGAACAGAAGTTACAGAAATGTAGTAAACTTTCAATCTTATTGTTTTTTTAGTCGATTTCTCAATTATGGTTCTAACTACAAGTGTCTGGCCATTTTCAGTTCCATCGACTATTAAAATACCAATTCAGGTAAGATGCCTGATTGCTTGAGACTTGTTCTGATCTTGTTTTTCGCATTTAGCTTGAAACTGTCCAAAATAGTTTTACAAATTTTTACAATAAGCAGCACAACAAACGTAAATTAAGTTGGTTTTATCAATATTCCAAAGGAGAAATTCGAGCATCTTATCTCAAGCAAAAATCAATTTTTTTTCAAGTAGGGAGGTTTCTTCATTGCTCGCTACAGTCAGTTGACTACAGAAGTGAATGCTCATACGCTTTTGAAAAGGAAAGTAATATAAAGTATGATCTGTGCAGTAAACACAATTGATGTTATACTTTTTATGAAAGCTTCTTTACTCCTACGGTTATTTATATGTAAAATCGTCTCGAATCCGCTTAGCTGCGTTTTTATTTCTGTCGAATGTAAAGGGAATCCATAGTCCTGAAAAAAATCACGTAGAGTTATGCGGACGCTAAAAATTTTCTGGCACATAATGATTTCAAAAGAAATCCAAGATAATGAACAACATTAAGTTCGACTCACTCTCCTCTGAAAAGTACACGGAGAAAAAAACGGTAAAATAAAGGATGAAATCAAATATTGTAAATGAACACCGTGGAAAAAAATCATGAGTGTGAAATTGCCGCAAACTAAGAAAAACGTAAATTCAAAAGAAAAATGAAAGAAATATATACATGAACGACAAATAGTCTGAATTTAGAGACGACTATGTACTAGTGAAAGAATTACTCAGTTTGGACTTATATTGTTCGAGATATAAAATTATTTTCCCGGCTAATTTTGTTTCTGCAGAGGTGTCATCAGTGTTTATGGGAATAGCTTTTTTAGTCTGGCTCCTACACAATCTGATTGAATGTTTCATCACATTCGACGTGACCTATACCTATTCAGCACCGTCTTCGTTCAAGTTCTCATCATTAGTATGATATGATTGACGCTTTCTCTAAGGCACAACGGTAATGAATAGTACCTGCATTCAGTTTTTCTAATATAATGGACCCACGATGGACGCAAAATACCTATACGCTTTGAGAACAAGACCGGTCCGTTGCTTCTATGAGTAGAAAAAGAATGAATGACAAACCCATATAATACTGTACTTTGGGTATTTTGTCATAAAAAGTACCGACACAAGCTGCACATCGGTAACCAGAGCAGAGCATCTTCGGATGCAATATAATATTCTCATCGTCGTCTTCCGCTTGTGAACAACGGCATGTGTAAAGTGAATTTTCTCAACTATCTCTGCGATGAGCAGCCGTCCGCCACAATCCTGGCTAAATGAAACATGAATTGTTGTGTTTCCTAAGCGATTTCAGATAAACATATGAGTTACTGCGTACAATAGATTTATTGAAATTTACGTCATTTCGGGGCAAGAGTCGTGTACAGATACAGAAATTTTTTTACACGTCAAGTAAGAGTAAGAGTTGGGTTGTTCATCAAGAATTTAGAATGACGGATTCCAGTAAACAAAAGACTGAAAGTTTTTTCTAAAAAGTAACATGACGGTTTACTAAAAATAAGAAAACAGTAAAAATCCATGTAAAAAAACATAAAGCTTAATATGTAGAAGAAAAAAAATATGAAGCTAAAAGCATAAACTATAAGCTGTAGAAGAATATGAATAGAAAAAATAGCCCCATAACAGCATGAGAAGCCATCAAGAAAAAACTTGATCTGTTTCACTGTTTTTTTTCAGTTTGTAGGATTGTTTTTTTGGAATATCAATGTGATGAAGCAGGAAGGGATGTGATATACTCGTAACTAAGGAGAACTAGTGGTTTTTAGAGGACAAAAAGCTAGCCATTCTTACTCTACCCTTTGCACGTCAATCCAAAGTTATCTGTATACATTCTTTTACAGGTATCAACATATCAAATGATCATACTTTTATTATTTAATGAATCCCCTGAATACACTGTGGAACAAATACAAGATGAAACACAAATCGAATTAGATTTATTAATAAAAATCTTGTGTTTATTATTGAAAGAAAAAATATTCATTTGTACTGATTTATCAATCGAAGGTCAAAATAAAATTGAAGAAGAAAATATAAAAATAAATTTTGTTATTAAACTTAATTTTGATTATAAAAGGTAAAGATTTTTGATTTTCAAGTTGTCATATTCATACGTGCGTCTCGTTTTTCCAGTGCAACAATAAGAAGAAATTTAAATTTACCTATAAAATCTCTTGAACAAAAAGAGACAGAAGAAACAAATCGAACTATTGATAAAGATCGAGCATTAATCATTCAGGTTTGTACCAGTAATCGTTCGTTATCTATTCAAAATATAATCGTCAGCTGCTCAATCACTTTTTTTGCATGCATTCATGTTTTGAAGTTTTCTTTATAATAATATTAATCTAATAATTAGGTTCGCTAGTGTGTCAACCACACTGAGCCTTACTCATTTG